CAATTCGTTATTATTTTTAATTGCTCATAAGCAGCATTTCTGCCATTAAACTAGGAAATGAATATCGTTGGCCGCAACGATGCTCCTGCTATTCGTACTTTCATTTTTAATTGAGCTACGTTTATGTTTTTCGGTACTTTTAATTATTTTCTATAAACTTTTTTTAAACTCATTTAATTAATCGCCTTACTGTATGTCAGCTTGTTGCGATCGCAACCTATTAGCGCCAGCTTATCTAATACCCCGTGTGGTTGTCTGTTTGCCCGTTTTTGGCACAGTAATTATGTATTTACATTTGGTCTCCACTATTTTCTGTACTATTTCACATTTTATTGCTAAGGTGATGTTTTTAGCACCTCAAAACTAAAAAAAAAGACTAAGGAAACATGTGTTCCGTTAACAACTAAATAAGCTATTGCCATTGCCATTTATTTAAGTTTTTTTATATGTACATATACCTACATATAAACATGTGGTATGTATGCATATACATATATGTAAATATTTATATGTACAATATAAAATAGTAAGTAATATTTAAAGTGCCTAATTGGCTAGCGCTCGAGTAATGTTTTTGTGCAGAAAGCGACAAAGTAATTTGCTTATATGTACATGTGTGTATGCATATATATGTATACATACATATAAAAATTAATTTACNTAATTGGCTAGCGCTCGAGTAATGTTTTTGTGCAGAAAGCGACAAAGTAATTTGCTTATATGTACATGTGTGTATGCATATATATGTATACATATAAAAATTAATTTACTAAGTATACTTCATATTTTCTTAAGTGTTCTTGAAAACATCTTTCCGTACTTTTAAAAATAGTCTCCAAGTCTATTGTTCAATAGTAATTAAAAGCAAGGCATGCATTTAAAATTATCGTATTGTTCATGTCTATTTATGCAATTTAAGAACATGTAAAGGCACTGTCGGGTGTGGAGAATTTTCGAAAGGCATTAGAGAATTCTTTTCTAATACCTCCAAGTTTCCATTACTTTATTTGTTCCGTGTAGAGTTTGGTGTCCTTCTGAAATGCGAGCAACATTAATTGTGAACGCATTTTAATGTTTTTCTAATTTTTGTAATTTTTGAGTTTTTGTAGAGTTTGTAGACTTCCTGAAAGAGTGCTTAAATGCAAGCTATGTTAATTGCCAATGCATTTAATGCTTTATTCCAGTTTGAAATTTTTTTTTTTGTAGTATAGAGTTTGGAGACTTTGCATAAATGAGTAAACTTAAAGCTTTAGCGCAGATGACAACATTTTAAAGCTATTTCACGAATTTATATCTTACTGCAGACTGCAAAAAAAAAAAATTACTTGCTCTAATAAATCTGTTGTACGCAATCTACTTAACTAAGGCTTACAAATTAACAGTTAAGTATGGTTTTTATTCCGTTCGTGTGTAAAGAAAAAAAATTAAATTGCATAAAAAATAAGGAGCAAGAATACAAATTTTGTTTTTGCTCTTGTTTTTTTGAAATAACACACACACACTTACAGTGAATTAATCAAAATTTGTGCGCAGTTTGCAAATTCGGCTGCAAAGCCAGTGAGCCCATTTTACATTTAATTTGTAGAGTAAATGCCATTGTCTATTAGCTTAGCAGCTCAAGAGTCACACAAGTGATTCAACTGTTTGACATACCATTATGCGTTGTAACAGTTTTCCTATGCTCTACAAAATATATGACTAAAATATGTCAGTTTGAATTTTTATGTAAACAAATTTTTGCTACCCGTAGCACTGTGTGTAAATGCTCTGAGTAAGCACACCACACACACATACACACATAACTATAATTTTTTCTTTGAATTTGTTAACAAGGTAGTGTTTTAGTATTTTGCTTAGGAAGCAATACAACCCTTTCCAAGCTTATGCTAGCTATTTTAGAGTAAACTATGATCAGTGAAGTTTTAAGAAACTTTGGAGACTTTTCAAAAATGGGTTTCTTCCATAAAAAAAAAAAATACTTGAAAGCAATAAAAATCGGAAGTAATCATGTTTTCGAGTAAATTCTGTAGTTTCGTAAAAAACTTCCTTACGTGAAGATTTGAGTTTGTTCAGAAAGGTGAAAAGGCTTGATAATTCCACATCAGTGTTACCACGTATAATCAGCGTTAACTTCAAAATTAAATAAGTCTTTCCGATTTAATTTGTCTTTTTTTCAATTAGATTTAGAATTTCANACATCAGTGTTACCACGTATAATCAGCGTTAACTTCAAAATTAAATAAGTTTTTCCGATTTAATTTGTCTTTTTTTCAATTAGATTTAGAATTTCAGATTAGATTTAAAATTTTGGGTTTTCCCGAAAATTCAAAAAAAAAAAATGTAAATTATGCATGTCATCAATAAAAATAAATCCCGGCATGCTATCAAAAGCAAAGATAATAAAATAATTAATGAAAGGGAAACAAGTTAAATTTCGCGAACCTGTATTATTGAGGCTGTAAAATTCTGTTAATAGTAAAAATTCCAGATCAATTGTGGCAACTATCTTTCAACTCACCACAGTATTTCGAAAGGCAAAGAAGAAAGAAAGAAAGATATGCTAACGAAGAGGTCTTAACGTTATTGTGTTTGTCTTTTGGCTATAAGTTTTCTATAAAAAAAATTAAATAAAAAATATATATACATATATTTTTCTTTTTAAACAATACAAATTAAAAGAAAAAAGTAAATAAGTTTGTAAAAATTAAGTGAAATTAAAAATTTTTTCTTTTTCATACAATAAAATATAAAAATTAAAAAAAATTAAAAGAAAAAAGTTTTATCAAATAAAAAAATTATTTTTATTTCTAAAACAAGAACATCCAAAAATTAAAAAAAAATAAACTAAACAAGAAAAAATATATAACATTAAAAAATGCACAAAATAAGTTTAAAAAATTAAATGAAATTAAAAATATTTCTAGTTTTCTCTTTAGAACAATAATCTTTAAAAATTAAAAGCAAATTAAACAAAAATAAATAAATTTAAAAATATTGTAAAAAATACGTTGCCCGAGTATTCAAACATCGTGTCTCGAAGGCAGTGCCAGCGCTTTGCTCACTCTTTACTGCTTCGTACCTCACAAAATTAATTAAAAATAGGCGTTAAATTACTTCGATTCATTATATATTATTTTTAATTAACTAAAAAGTACCTAATCTTTAATAATTGGTAAAAAAGTGATTAAAAATTATTTTCTCTTATTAAAAGCGAGTATTTTGTTAGAGAATGTTGTTTGACAGTGTTTTGAAATACGAGGTTTTGCCAAAGTAACGTCTATCTCCATGTTCAAGAGCTTTCACCACGAAACTTGGCAAGGGATCTTTTTTTGTAAGACTTTCGTACCAGTATAAACAAAATCTCTCCAACTATCTTTTGCCCTCTGTTTTTCAATTGTATTACTAAAGACTTGCAACTATCTTAGCCAGAATTGCCCTGCCAGAACCGTACGTTATTTGTAGCTCGTAGAGTCATCGGTGTTTTTGCGATTATTGCATGTGACCGCTCTTAATTACATAGCAACCTATGTATGTATGTAATATATAATACAATATTCATCTGGAAAGGCAGAAAACCTGTGACAACGCAGTAGCATAACCAATAGCATAAACAATTTCCAATAATTTCTAATGACAGATACAGTTTTGACTGACTGCTTTTAAAGCGGTTGTTATTTTCGTTAGCAAATATTTATTTATTTATCGGATGTACATACATAAGTACATAAATATGCATATATGTATGTAAAAAATCACATTTACATATTATTATTGTTATTAACCCATTAAAAATGATGAACGCATGCGTCGTGCCCCACTCATCACACACATCCACGTACCTACATGCATATGTACATTAGAGTGGTCCAAAAAAATTAAGTTGGAATTTTAATGCCGGCACCCCCTAGGATTGTTCTATATCGAAAGAAATATACCCCTATTTTTTATTTTGAAATCAAAAAATATTTAGGGGGTGCTCAAAGCGCTCAAAGTTTTCCATGTATTTTATATGGAGAAAAAACCATTTTTCGTAGAAATGGTGTAAAACTCTTAAAAATCAATATTTTTCGGAAAACTGTGGTTCTCTTCAGGAGACTTCCAGTATTAATATCCAATTGTTTATTTAACCATTTTTTATGATTAAAGATTTTTCCATTGCATTTTCTAGGGGTTTTGGAGGACCTATAAAATATAGTTACTATGAAAAAATGGTTAAAGAGACAATTGCGTATTATTACTGGGAATCTCCTGAAGATAAGAAAAGTTTTCCGATCGAAAAATATTGATTTTTAAGAGTTTTATACCATTTCTACGAAAAATGGTTTCTTCTCCATATAAAATACATGGAAAACTTTGAGCTCTTTGAGCACCCCCTAAATATTTTTTGATTTCAAAATAAAAAAATAGGGGTATGTTTCTTTCGATATAGAACAATCCTAGGGGGTGCCGGCATTAAAAATCCGACCTTATTTTTTTTACATACATTTTTGGACGACTTTAATGTACATATTTACACACGTACCTACATACATAGAAGGCGTCATTCAATGCGCGCTGGTTGAGGAAAATAAATCTCAAATTGGCGCGATCAATTTGTGGTTATTTACAACAGCGCACAAAAAAATGTTTATTTTTTTAACTAAAAACAATTTTATGAGTAACTTACCTACGTTGTTATAAAGAAATTACGCTTTTTACTTGTGATTACTTGAGTGATCAATTAAATACATACATACGTGAAATTTGCCGATCAAAAGATCTGTCACAGCGATCACGCACGCCCACCTGCCAAGCGCGCAATCAAAACATAAGCGCTCATTCGCTTAAGCCGCACTCACACAACAAATGTGTGGGGCAAGGAAGTAGGCGAGAGGGAGTGTGAATAAGTGAGCGCGATGGTGGGAATCGAGCGTTGTTGAGAGGCGGGCAACACAGATGCCTTTACTTGGATCACTCAAATGAGTTGCGCTCATATTGAATGAGTGACTACTTTTCGAACGTGCCGCGAGCTCAGTCACATTTAAGCCGGCAAAAGAACATAACAAAGAGCGAAAAAGCAGCGCCGCGCAAGCTAAACAAAGTCAATGCTTGTCTGTCGCACAGCACAGTCATGCCGCCTTCTAGGCATACGCTATGTGACGCTCACCTCCGCGCTTTGCCATTTCTGCAAGTCAAGAACGCCATCAAAGTCGTTCGCTTATCGACGGCGTACGGCGCACGGCGCGACTACCTTGCATGGGGCTGTTTTGCTTAAAAAGTAAAGAGTACACCTGCGTTTATTTCATTTGCGTTAAGACAGCCCGTTCGTTCAGAACGTTCACTCCATAAAAGAAAAACAATCTTCCATACGTTTATTCCGTATAAACAAAATACAGACAACGAGATCGCGGCGTACGAGCGAACCAAAAGTGTTGCCGTTTGTTGATCGTTAGTTTCTTCTAAAAGAATCTATTGAAATTTATTTCTATTATTTATATTCAATGATCGGTTTGTAAGCTTCTAAAAGTTTTGAGAAAAAAAATCGCATTACCAAAAAAGGTACGAACCGTAAAAAGATCGATCGAAGATCGCCACTCATTGACTGACTGATCGTGCGAGCGTTGAATGTCGTGTGTGTTTATGTGATCGGAATTGAAAATTGGAAATTGGAATTTTTCAACGTACATTTAATCGATGAAAAACCTAAAACGGAGTCGAAGTTGAACAGGTTTAGTCAGCTTGCTGTTTATTTTTTTTACACAAATAATTACTTGCGCACGCACTACTCTTACAAGTTCCTTAATTTTATGCGAAATCGGCGTGGAAGTGCAAATGGATCTGTGTGTGTGCATTTGAGTGAAGTAATCACTAGTAAGTAAGCACAAAAAAAAAGGACCGAATGACTTGGAGCGAAGTAAAAAATCAAGCAAATCAACTAAAAATCGCAGATAAAATCGTAAACTGTAATTTCGTGTAAGCTGCGACATACATGAAAAATGCATTCATTATATCTTAACGAGCATTTGTTTGATGCACAAGCGAGTCTTGACCACAGCAGCGAACATAGCAGTACGCCAGTGTCCGTTGTGTCGGCGAAGAGTACGCAACTTTGCGTGAAAGCGCCTAAACCGATTGAGAAGAAAGTTGTGCTTGCGTTGAAAAAATTATTGAAGTGAAGGACACGCTAGTCAGCTAGCAAGTGAGCAAGTAATCGAGAACAAAGAACGACACTGAAAAGTGAAAGTCAAGGAAGTGACACTATAAAGCGCACAAAATACAAAGTTGGAGGAAAAAGTGTTCCACAAGTTCAATTCAGTGTTAGCGGTAGTAAACTTATCGAAAAGATATTTTGAGAAATTCTAAAGTGTAGAGAAATAAGTGGAAAAACTTATAATTGGCACGATTGAGAAAAAAAGTTGTTGGTTTTTGAGAAAAAAATTAGTAAACTGTGATAAAAGAAGTTTTAAAGCAACTAAAAGTAGCTTCATAGCCGAAGCAAATGAAAATACACTAAAGACGAAAAAAAGAGAAATTTTAAAGAAAAGTTTTAGCTATTTTTTAATAAAAAGTGAATAGTTTGTAAAGAAAACTTAACAACGAACTCGCCGAAGCTAACTTTTAACGAATAAAAAGTTTCGTCCTTGAACGAATTTCCACAACGAATTTTATTTTTAATACTAAATAAATAAAAATTAAAAATAATTAAAAAAAATAAAAAATATTGCGTAAAATTAAAATAAAAATTTAAAAAGTCAGTCTACACAAAAACTATACACCGTGCAAAAAAAAAACGATTTTTGTTTTTTAACATTTGAAGTCATAAAAATTTACACTGTGCCACCAATAACAACTTTCCCGAAAGCAGTATTAAAAGAATCCTAGCAACACAAAAAATCCATTCAAATCCCCACACGACAAAAAAAAAACAAAAATCTACAAAATGATCTTCAATAAGTACATCGAAAAACTTTCGAGCTCCTTTGGCGCAAGCGCCAAGCAGCAACAAGCCAAGCACACAGAAGTCAGTGACTACAATAACACACGCAATGTGGAGTATGAGAAAGCAATGGCCGCCAATTACATCAACTGTGGCCATTACTATCACTATAATCAAAGTCATATAGCTTCGAAAAAGAAGAAACCAAATAAAAGTCAACAGCAGCAGCAGCAGCAACAACAACAGCAGCAGCAGCAGCAACAGCATCAACGCAACTTTTTAAGCACAGATGAATTGGCAACAATAAATAATGGCCAAAATAGCAGTAGTTGTTGTAAGAGCAACAACAGCAGCAGCAACAACAAAAGCATTAGCAATAATACAACAAGTCACACTCATAGTCAAAGTAATAATTACCTAAAAGTGCCACAACAATCGCATCATCCGACACGCCTCAATGCCAAAGATATACCTGCGCTACGCATCTCTACGGATGTGCATATTACTCGAGATGCCGCGGATGGATATGCTTGTGTGAGTGGCGGCGACATATCACCCTCGTCGCATTACTACGAAGGTGACTTCTATGGCACGCCGCTTTCACCGCTGAATCCTTCGCCTGCCTCGTCGTATACGACCTCACTCTCGACGGAATCGTTGGCAGCTGGTGCCTGCAGTCCCAGCACCTCGATGTCGGCTGCCTCGACGCCCACATCGTTGTCGACGTCGCCACCGCGTTTTCACAGTCGTCCGCCATCGTTGCGGCTATCCAAGGAGTTGGCCGCGATTTACAGCAAATTGTTACACTTTCCGTGGGTATTTTTCTTTTATTATTGGAAACATGTATTTTTATATAAGTTTAAAGTTTATTGAAACTTCGTTAGTATGTGAATAATGCGAGGCGTAATAACAAAGGAATGTAGACTCTAGAAATACTACTAAAATTCGTACACTCCGTTTTCAGTTGCCTGTAAATGTGTTTACAGCTAATTTCAGTGTAGTATAGAGCTTGGAGAGTTTTGAAGACTACGCATTTTCTCTTGAAAAATAACTCAAACGTTTAAAAATTGTGTTCAGACACAGTGCATTGCTTTGTAGAGTTTGGAGAGTTATGCTATACTGCCTTAAACAAAGGAAAATTGTGTTTCATAGTGTTTGGAGACTTTTAAAAACTGTGGATGGAATTGTTAAACATTTTAAAATCTCTTAAATACCTTCAGTTTTGAAGTATTAACGATGTTAAGAAATTTTCCAAATCCTTAAAATACTTTTAGTTTCTAAAATTTTGAAGCATAAATGCACATTTTCTACACTCTACAAAACTTGTCTCCAAATTATTTGCGCACGAAAATAAGCTCGTAATACATTTTTAATTAAATATTACTTAGTCTGTCCGAAGTTCCCCAACAAATTTAATATCTCCTCGGTAGCTTCGTCACATTTTTTTTTCATTCCGCTTTTAGTGACGCAGTGACGCTGTAGCCTAATTTTATGCATCCGCCCGTATGACTGCAGTAAGCGCATTTATAAATATCATTCATTGTGGCCCTCTTTTAACGCACACTGCTAACATATATAACGGTAAATGTAAATTTAACATTTACATACGCTTATTGACGCAAGTGATTTACACCAACGCAGCCGGGTAACCGTTACAAACAGAGGTCAGATAATTTGATGGTTTAAAATGCCAAAAATATGATAACTTTCAATAACTTATTTCGCAAGTGACGAAAGCGTATCAGAAGCTCATACTTTTACATGCGCATCAGCTGTCTGCTTTTTAAGTGAAGAGAACAAGTTTTCGATACAATTTTAAGCGCAAATTTTAAAAATAAATTATTTGCGCTCACGTTTATCACGCATGAGAGTGTACGTTGAAAAAAGTGGAAGGGTAATAAAAACCAACGACACTGTCACGCTGTGAAAACAACCATAAGCACTGTTGGGACTTTAGGCGCTTACTTCTTATTTTTNCACGCTGTGAAAACAACCATAAGCACTGTTGGGACTTTAGGCGCTTACTTGTTTTTTTTCTTTTCTTATTAAATTAAATAACAATGCTGATTGAAAATGCGTGGCTCTAGTGTCGCCGCAGCTAATTAGCAACTTTGTGGATTTAAGTGATATATGCGCACATGACATACGCAATTATGAAGCGCAAAATTTGCTTATTTACAAGATATTTATAAAAGATACATAAGTAATAAGTAACAACTATAGGGCATGTGTTTACTTGGATGAGAGTTTTTATAAATAATGTAGTGATACTAATTTTTTTAGCTGCTAAAGATGTTTTTTTCACATTTTTCTTAAAATTTAAGGAAGTGGAGAGTTTGGAGACTTCCTAAAACTTAAGCTAACACAATATTCAAACATCAAAAGCTACGCAGACCATTTTTTTCGTGCTGAATTATTTATCGAACCAGTGTAGAGTTTGTAGACTTCAAAAAAATTGAATAAAATCAATTGTTGAATGCTGCTAGGACATAAATTTGCTGTAGCATAGAAGTATTTTGAATGAGTGTAGAGTTTGGAGACTTGAAAATTCGCACAAAATTAAGGCGATTAATGAGTTTACTTTCTTTCTGACCAGATGTGACTGTATATTAAGTCTTTTACTAAATCATTTTGCATAAACAATACAATTTTTCAATTAATTTTTTAAAAGAAAATATTTTGATATTTTTAAATAGGTATTGTCAGCTTTAACTTGTTTTATTTAATATTGTGCGGCCTGCTGTTATAACACAAATGGAGGGACCTACAATTTCACGCCGCCTCCGAATGGCAAATGGTTTTAAGAGCAGATTTTTCAAGGCAGAAATATCCCCGAACGATTGCCGGTGTAAGAAAATAACTTTTTCTAATTTAGATGTTGCTCGGACCAGGGCTTTTTTTGTATTTAGTGTACTGGCCTTTTATTAAATTACTCAATTAAAACCACTATCACATGTTTAATATACGCAAACAGCGAGCGATTTACATGTGATTGTTACGAAATTTTCTTTTGTGCTTGTCTTTTTTATTATAGAAGTCATAGAATTCCCAACACGTGTTTTTATTTGTTTAACATGCCATTGTTAACTGTTAAAAAAAAAAAAAACACTCCACACAACTTGAGCTTACATTGTAGGTGACTGTACACACACGTGCGTTCGCCTCGTGTGTTGGTGCCATTTCAAATTGGTAGGCATGTTTATGCTACTTTATTGATGTCATTTATCTCGCGCACTTACATAATTATGCATCCAAATATGTACATTTATCTATACAAATTATGGCAATTTCTTTGTTGATTATAAATAATTGTGATTTTGCGCTGTGATGATGATTTCTTGTTTCTCTCGACACTTCCTTTAACTGGTTAGTTAACTTTTGAAATTGCTCTGAATTGATTTGTTTTGTTACGCTGCTTTTCTTAAAGTTTGCATTACAACGCATTTTTTTTAACTGTTCGTGTTTGTGTGCACCACCCTGCGCTTCCACAGCTTCCGCCTTCTACTTTGCAGCATACAGCGAGCGTTCGCATCGCCTACATTTAATAGATGTAATCAGCTTTGTGTGAATTGATTTCAGTAATTGTAGCAATTGTTTGTATACATAAGTGCGGACAGACCGCAACTAAATGTTAATCATACCATCAAATAGTGTGTGCTTAGGCGCGCAAGCTAGATATTATCGTGGTAATGCGTTGTTAATAGACATTGCTTAACAATTACTTGATGTAATGCTTAAGTAAATAGCAAATAATAATGCAACGTTGCTGCACTACGTACGAAAGTAATTGGAGCAATTAGGTATTTTCTTGACAGCTGCAGTAGCACCTTAGCGTTCGTTGGCTTGGCAAAAACGAGTTATAGGCTGTTTTTTTTTTTTAAATCGCTTCAGACATCGCCTGTTTTGAAATTTTCGGCGCAAAACCGAAAAGTGGAAAGTTTTGGAAAAAATGATAAAATAGTGAGATATTGCTAGTTTATTGTTAAATTGCTAATGGAGACTTTGCACACCTTTTGTTGATGCGCCATTTTTCATTTATACTAAGCAGTGAAGGATTTTCTACGCTTTGAAATATTTTGAAGCTTCTAAAAATGTAGGAAAATATTAAAATTGTCTAGGTAAAGGGCTGTTTGCAGCTCTCAAGAAAAATCACAAGAAATATTTTTTATTATTTCTGTTGGTTGAAAAAGTACTTTGCTTCCGCTGTAAATTAACTTGAAGGAATAACTATTCTAGCANAATCACAAGAAATATTTTTCATTATTTCTGTTGGTTGAAAAAGTACTTTGCTTCCGCTGTAAATTAACTTGAAGGAATAATTATTTTAGCATTTTTTTTACATAGAAAATAAATTTCGATAGAAGAAAATTTCTTTTCCAATTCTTGTGCGTCGTTTTATGTGAATCTTTCGTTTTTCTTGAGAGCTGCAAACAGCCCTTAAAGCTGATTTCAAATTATATAGATTTTCGGCGCAGCAAAATGTGCAAAAAATTTCCGAAGCATGCTTGATTTGACAAAAATGTGCCTCAGCTTTAGTTTAAACTTGCGAAGCGAATGAATTTGGCGAAGCGAATGAATTTGTCGAAGCGAATGGATTGGCGGACGCAACTTAAATATGCATTAAGAGTGTTATTTTTTACCAGCTTGTGAAGTTCTTTGCATCACGAACATTTTTAATGCCTTCTCTGTTCTTTATTTCGCTTCGCCAAACCGTTAATCAATTAATCGATGGTGAGCGGTTAGAAAAAAGCGAACGGTTAGTCGATTTCGAGCAGTTAATCGAATACTTGCTAACCGGCAAAAAAGTCGATGTTTAACAGCAGCTCTAAATTTTTGTCTTTTTTGATTTTTTAAGAGTAAAGGGATTTCAATTTTGAATTTTGAAATAAAAAATGTTGTTTATTGTAAAAATTAAAAAAAAAAAAATTATTCTAATTTAGCATAATAAGGAAATTTACGCAATGTTCTTAAAAGAAAATAGGCTGATTTCAGTTTTTTTCTCNGTTGTTTATTGTAAAAATTAAAAAAAAAAAAATTATTCTAATTTAGCATAGTAAGGAAATTTACGCAATGTTCTTAAAAGAAAATAGGCTGATTTCAGTTTTTTTCGTTGAAACACTGCAGATATTTTAATTTTGAAAAAAATTTACTTTTCAAATAATTTCGACTAAAGTTTTATTAAAAATTTATATAACAATAAGTGGAGAGATTTCTGTTTCAAAACTGCATATTTAGAAAATACATAGTAAGTATAAAGCTTGCAAGCGATAAAGCAACAGATTAACAAATTTTCATAGCAACTTGTATATTATCATTATTTATTATTTATAACTCATATATTTTCATTAAAATGCGCTCTAATTACTATTTTAGTATAAATTATCGAAGTTATTTATTGCTGCGCTCTCACTAAAACTGATCATTTTTTGCTGTCGTTAGAACAAAGCCACCAAAGCGAGTGAAAGTTAAAAAATTAAATAAATTACTACCAAACTACATACATACATACATTTATCTCACTGCTTAGAGTGGCTAGTAGTTCGCACTAGTGATTTTTTATACAGCCGTTAATTATACATACATATATCGCTAACGGGCCTTTACATTTGTAGCTGTTTCTACGCCACGTATTTTCATATTTCATGTAACAAGTTGTTTTTACCCCGACCTTTCTACTTAGTTTAATAAAAGCTTTTTTTTTTGTTTGTGCACAACAATTTACAACAACCACACATTTATATTGCCAATTACTCCATTTTTCACGCGGGAAATTGAAATTGAATTATAAATTTTGTTTTTGCAAAATTTTTACGCCCACCAGCCAACCAGCTGCGGACCAGTTTTGTTGTTATTCATTCAATTTTCGCTGTGCTATGCCTGCTAAAACGGTTTGTTTACATTGTTGGCGTTGCTTTGACCTTAATCACATAAAAATCGATTTATGCATTTGCGTGAGTGTAGGGGATTGATTTGA